CAGATCGATCTGCAGTCGGAACGGGACTCGGCCTGCAATAATGCCGCCAATAACGGGCAACAGATGCGCCAACAGGCCAGGCAACAGCAACAACAGCAACAACAACAACAACAGCAACAACAGCAACAACACCAGCCGAGGACGGTTGCCACGAACGAGACCGTACCATTCACGGATCTTCGCTGGTTGATGCAAAACGGGAACTCGCAGGCGCCGTCCTCGAAGCACGTCCGCGGCGACACGACGACGACGACGGCGGCCAGGGCACAGGCCGAGGCTCAAGATCTCAAGTACACCGGCCGCTCGATCAGCGGTACTTACTGTAGCTTTTGCCAGAAGACTTTCTCCCGCGCCTGGTCCCTGCAGAGACATCTGGCGGACACGCATTTTTACGTGCCGCAGTCGCTCTGTTGCGACCAGTGCGGCAGGAGTTACAAGTCGAGGAACAGTCTGGTCAGTCACAAGAGTCAGTATCACGCGAAGAAAGAGCGGAAGGAGCACGAGGAACAGTGCGAGGCCAAGTATTGGCAGACACCGATGGTCTAGTCTTGACCGGATACGCGTGCAAGAGGTTCCGTCTTGGAACGGAGGATCCATCCAGGAAGAGAGAACGCGCCGTTAACCGGCATGAGAAAGAAGCGAAGAGACAATCGTTTAGCCAATTTTAATATATATTCGCGTTGTAGTAATTTCCGTTACCGTCACACACCATGATCCTAGTCTGCTTTTTTTTTTTTTTTTTTCTCTTTTTTTTTTTTTTCGATCAACGTTACCGATTACCTCGATTACCACGCCAAAGATGTCGTTTCACGAGCGACCCTTTTATCCCAAATAAGTTCCGCCATCTAGTTTCGCGCCAAGTTCACGAGCGAGCAATCTTTCCCGCGGGAAAATCGATACCACTCTCCTCCGGTACGACCGTGCTCTTCCTCATCCACCCTAGAGAGCGAGCCAAGGGTAGGTTTTACCCTTGCGTATTTTACCCGACGATAAAGTCAACCTTGTTACGTTTCTCCGTCGATTAGCGACACCACCACTGGTGATGGTGTGCTCGATCGACTATGGAGAAGGATGCATAGCGGCTGTGCAATCTTTCTCTCTCTCTTTTCCTCTCTTTCTCCGAATACGTATTTTTGCCGACAGAGTTTTTTCGCCGCGGAAAACGTATTCGTTTACCAAGTACGAATCTATTTATCGGCCGATCGGCAACTACAAACCCCTATCCTATCTGCAGGCGCTCAAAAAAAACAATTTTTAGATATCGATTCACGGACTAATTTCTCTCCTCTTTCCCTGTCTTTTTCTCGTATTTCTAGTTCCGTCCGCCATATCTCCCCTCTGAATCTTTTTCTCTTTCTCTTTCTCTCTTTCTTTCTCTCTCTCTCTCTCTCTCTCTCTCTGCGCCTTTCTCATGCTTGGATCGATCAATCAGATTTTCTATAACGTTTCGCCGACAATGACGGACTTGTGTCAATCTTGTGTCTCGCGACGTTCGTGCGAGAAGAAGAGGAACGACGTTATTGACTGTCGCGGGATCGTAGTAGTTAGTTAAGGCTAAGGCAAAACGCGCGCAAAGAAAAAAAAGAAAAAAAAAAGAAAAAAAACGTAATTGTTGCTCTATAGTGAATGTCGTTAGAAAATTGAATTGAGAGAAATAAAAGAGAATTCGATGGAATGAAAAAAATTTGTTGTTTCACTGACAAAATATACATATACCAAAAATAAAAAAAATTACCCGGAACGGTAGTCGTTACATGGAAAAATTCGTGAATATACGAATGATATAGGCGGAGGGTTCCGTTCCGTTTTGCGAGTCATCACGTATTACGCATTAAATGTATATTAAATGAAAATACAGAGAGATCAATAATCAAGTGTTTCGCTTCATCGCATCATCCCGTTAGACAAAATATCACACCCTTGTATATATATATATACATAATATTTATATACACATGTATACCACCACAAGAATCTACTCTGCTCTGTCTTGCTGTAAATAATACGCATCGACATGGAATTACATCTCTGGTGCTCTGAAAAACACTAACGTCATCGCTCACAGAAATCGTTCACTGGAATCTTGGAATTGCTTGCACTCTACTATCGTAATCGTAAGCGCTAAAAAAAATAATA